CGCCGGGGGCGGAGGGGGGAAAGAAAGGGCCCCTCCCACCGCGGCGCCTGCCGCCACCGCCGCTGTTGCCTTTCTACCCGGGTCACTCTTCCCCTTTTCCTCAATTCTCCTCGTGTATTTTTATTGCAGAGGCTATCCACTCCTCCGCTGGCAGGCTGACGTCAGCCTTGCATCGACCAGCGGAGTGTCACGTCAAAGCAACGCCACAGAGTATTTATACTCCAACCTGTGGCACAGAAAATGTGTACCACATGAATGAATTAGGTGAACACAAGCCTATGGCAGCTAGGGCGTAAAGTCTTCTAAAGTTTCTTTATTTTTTTACTCATATTAACTACGACGTGCCGGAATTAACAAACAAAGTGTAATCGCGGTATAGTGCTGCGACAATAAATATAGTTATAATTTATAAATGGCCTATACGTATTGAAGCGTCTTTCTTTTTGTTTAAAATAGTTTGAAAAATAATGTATTTTTTTACAATGAGCCATTCATTATTTGCAATACAAGAAAAACGATCACATATATCACAAAGAAACCATCACATTTTTAAATAAAAAGATACACTATGAAGAATTACTAGAATAAAAAACACTAGTAAACTCAAGTATTTTTAATGAATACATGTATTAATATTGTATTTATTATTCAAATATTGAATATAAGGGTTTCTAGGGGTTTTATGGTCATAAACATTTTGTTGCTCTAAACTAGCAGAATGGCTTTTGACAGCCATAAACAGTCTCATAAACAGCAGCTATATTTCCGTGAACTTATGACTGTGTACTAGATGAAGAATACAGTTATTAATTATATAGTTTTATCCTAATCAAATAAATGTGGTAATACTTTAAATTCTTAGTCATTCACCATTAAACAATTTTGCACACAAAATCTAAAATTTATTTGACTTGATGTATCTCATTTACAGTTTTGCACTGGGGACATCAGAGTGACTCATTGTCTGTTTTTACCAATAGCTTGATGTCACATCTTTTCCTTTTCCTAAACAATAAAACTGAGCAGAAAAGTTGAACTACAAAAAACAATTATGAAAACATGTCATGTCATGTAAAAAATGTTCTACTAAAATCGGTGTTAGCAGGGATTTGACTGATTTGTCACAGTTTTACAGCTTAGGGAGACATTCATCCTGTGTCTACAAATAAGATCAGACACTCAGCTCTCTAGAGGGCCACATACAGGTCATAGGTTGTTGACATTGTCACCTGTAACTTAATGTTCAGTGTGATCTAGTTGTAATAAAGAATTGTCTCTCTGGACAAGATCATGATCTAGGACAGAAACCATAGTATTTTATTATACTAAAATTTACCTTATATGTTTAACTACCAAAAGAATGCAAAGCATATTTTGCAATATTTCGTTACTGTGTGTTGGTAAAACTAATTTACCAACAATTAATAATTGGTAAATTAGTTTACCAGTTGGTAAACTAATTTACCAACTGGTTTCAAATGAGTTGTTTTCATATTGTGCAGCTGTTTGTGAGAGAGTTATTATTGGGTTTTTTATTTAATAGGATGCTAAAATAAATAAAGTTATTTCATAAACCCTAAAGGAACTAAGGTTTTGGCAAAAGTAAACAATGACATTCCTTTATTCCATAAGAACCTCAATATATCATATGTGGTCACATACTGTATGTTTGAAAACTATAAACATCCATGGAGAATTGATATTAAGTATAGATGAGCCGTCAGTGCACAGAATGGTGAACACTTTGTGCCAATTCATAGTGGTCTACTCAAACAGCTCTCCTTTGCAGCCATATTTTAACCAGATATGTTATACTAAAGATATTGTAATTAATTCTACGTTATTGTTTCGTTTGGTAGTTTTTCTTCTGCTTATATTTGTCATCTTATATTTCTTCTTTGCTTTTATTGTTTTCCTGCAAGTAGTTTTCCTGCAAGTAGTTTGTACTACATATAAATATAACCTGGAAGAATTGTAATTGGCTTGTTTGTTAGCTTAAAGTGCATTACAACCGAGCTTTTAATTTATAAGAATTAACGTGTCCAACATCCTCCTACCAGTTTCTAATGTCACGTGACCACGCCCTCGCCTAGATATCGCAGAGCGTCGGTCTGCTGTCTCTACGGGGGAGGGAGGAACGGCTGTGCTGTAGTTAAATGGCATTTTATTAAACTTTCGTACACTTATGGGACTTCTTACTGCCATGGCATTCTGCCATTTTTTTTGCATTTGCTGAGTCAATCACTCATTCACGACACGACAATTATGTTACGAACGCAGTGATCTGTATTGGCTTGGCAGATAAAGATTAGTTGCTAGCATGCTAGCGAGTTAGTCAGTGATCCGTTCACTCAGCATAGCACAGCGGCCACACCTGTTAGTGACAGGTAAGAAATGTGACACTCATCTCGTGCCATTTACTGCAGTGTGTGTGTGTGTGTGTGTGTGTGTGTAATCTACACCTTGATTCCGTAGTCCAGGTTCGCAATTAGAAAATTAAAACTTAAACTTAAAAAGTAGTTCAGTCTACAGAAGTTGTTTATAGACAATAATTCTTTGTGACAGTAGTAATGCTGTGCTAATAGGATTGTAGCCCCATCCTTTCTGTTGCTCTTTTCAGAAGAACAGCCCTCTCTAGCTCAGCAGTCTGTTTTGCAAAGTCGTGTTTATGTGGTTTAAATGTGGTTTAGTCTCGCTTCGTACCAGTCTCTAGTATACTATACAAAATGTTTTTTTTATATTATTTATGAGTTGTAGACATTGGGAGTCAGGTAATATTTTAGTTAATTATTGATATTTTTATGTCCAAGCAAACCCACACACAACTGTAAGAGAATAAGTAAGTTACTTTCAACATTGACCAACGCCACACATATACTTTGAGGGCTTATTTTCCAACCATATGCATAGGTTTTTTCTTGTTTTTTTGTCTTATTTACAGTAACATCGATGGCTGTATCAATTATTGTGTAATTCAAAAGTTCAACAACTTGAAATTTTAATTAATTTTCCTTGATGGTTTTGTTAGTGTGGTTACAGATTCTTAGGGAGACATGGGGAAACTACAGAGCAAGTTTCGAAAGAGGTCTGACCTCTTCAGGTAAAATGTACTCCTAACAACTCTCCCTGTGTACTCCATAGACGATCATTTTTTAGAGCATTTGAATGCTATTAGAATCATTGATAAAAAGCAATTATGTTAATAAAAATAATTGAGAGAACATTTCCAATTCAGAAAAGCATTTTTTTATGTTTGCCTTAGTTTTTAAGATAAGGTAAAACTTTCTTCTTCAACTTCAACTATTCATTCCACACCAGGGAAATTCAGTAAAAAGCACTGCTGGAATTCAAACCCAGGATCTCGTTTACCAGGACAGTGACAGTGACAGGTTCTTTAATCAACTAAGACACAGCGCCACAATAATCCTTTTGTTACTGTCGTCGGTTGTTGGTTTTTCGTGTAGAGCATCTCAGGGGGAAATGCTTGACAGTACTCTCAACAGTAAGGTCATACAGTATGAACCTGCTCATCAAGGATCTATCAACAGTGTCACAAACCTCAGCCCTGATCTGTGCGTTTCTGGTGGAAGTGATCAGGTAAAGTGGTGATTTTTGTGACTAATATTGAAAATGTTCAGTTAAAATCTTACTGTGAAGATATTTCAAATTAGCCTCTTACATGAAATATTACATTTAAATGTGTTTCTGTGTCTGCTGCTGTAGGTCGTCGTGGTTTATGACTGGAAACAAGGCAGTATGTGTCAGTCCTTCCAGGGTCACAACAGAGAGGTTACCAAGGTATCATTAATACAGCATGTGCAGACAAACTGATAAAGGCCCGATGCTGTAAACCAGGGGTGTCAAACTCATGTTCGCTGGGGGCCACATCAACAATACAGTTCTCTTGAAGGGCCGGTTGTAACTGGAAGATTAGTCATATCCATTTACTTTCTTTTTTCTAAGATAATCAGAAAATATTTTAAAATAATAGGTCATTCAGACTCTGATACAGAATAGAGCCTAAAATGGGTTTTATTTTGAAAATTTAATAATCCTTCAATGCTCAGTACCTTGCTACCGGTCTGTAGTAATGGGTGGTACTGGCTGACCATTCCTTGGAACAGAAGAGGTTAGGGACCACTGGTATAGATGTAACTACTCCATAATAGAGTAATACATGTTTCTGTAATTGATTATTATTTATTCAAGCTACAAATATTGTTCATTGTTGCGTAATAATAATAAAAAAATGTATAGGTTAAGAAACTCAAAACGGCTTGTCGGGTTTCATTTGGCCCCCGGGCCTTGAGTTTGACATATGCTATAAACCATTCCCTGTCCATCCTGCAGGTGGTGTGTTATCCAGGCAGTACTTGGATCTTTAGTGCCTCAAGGGACAAGACTGTTCTAATGTGGGACTTAAACCAAGGCGATGAACCCATCCAGGAGTTTTGTGGGCATGAGTTGGTGGTTAATGGTGTCGCAGTTAGCCCTGGTATGCACTCATCTGTACTACTGTATATTCTAGTTTATACTATGCACTGAGTTACGTTTGATTAGCAAATAAAACCAGCTTAGTTTTCTGTAAATGTAAAGTAAGCTACAACTTTGTGTATTTTGGATATGAATGCAGTGTTTGCCCTAAACAACTACATCGCCTGGTGATGTTCTCTTCTATGAGTTTTAATTGCAGATAATTCCCTTTAAGTTATGTTAATGTAAATTCAGTCATTATTCCTTTTTGGGGTTATGGTGGGTGCTGGAGCCAATCCCAGCTATCTACAAGCGAGGTTGGGGAACAGTCAGGACAGTTTGCCAGTCCATTGCAGGACCAGTCCATTGCAGGGCCACATATAGGGACAAACAACCATTCACACTCACATTCATATCTATGGTCCGTGTCCAATCTACCTACTCCCTTATTAAACCCTAATTTTAGGCTGTGGGAGAAAGCCTGAATTTACATAAATGTAAATTGTCGTTCTAATTTTTGTTATTCTGCATTTCCACCGAAAAAGGACAAAACAACTGGCAATAAATTGGAAGATGATTAAATGTATTCTCACCTCTGTAAAAAAATAATGTAAAATTTAAACATGTGTTTTAAAAGTCTGATTTTGATTAGTAGATGGTAGAAAGCTGTGCACCGGCTCCCGTGACAACTGGATGTGCCTGTGGGATATAGAATCTGCAAAATGTGAACAAAGGCACAACATCTCTAGAAACCTGGTAAGAGCTGCACATCACACACACACAGACAGACAGACAGACAGACAGACACACACACACACACACACTCACACTCACACTCACAGGTTGCTTTAATCACTGAGGAGAGCCCTGGGCGTGTACTCTATTGTTTACGATAGGGAATTAAATATAAAAGCTGTGCACTCTGACACTACCTAGGCCTCGCAGGTATTAAACCTTTTTGTTTCTTTCCTCTTTTCTCTCGTCATCGTTCAGGTGACTCATGTGTGTTGGGTGCCAGGTAGCTCTTCTGTTGTCCAGACTTCTGAGGACAAGACCATAAGGTAGAGAAAGATTTGTTACTGTAATCACACTGGAGCAGATGTCCAATCTGAGATATGGCAGGAATAATTGAAATTAAGGAGAAAGCCATCCAGTAGGATAGAATTGCATTTATTAGTTATTATCAGTCTAATTTTAAAAGTCACTAATTAAGGGTCATGCAGATTTTTGTTGTACTGTTTTCACATTTTTGTGGATGGAACTGCATGTAAACTCATGACATTATCTTAATGCATATGTGGATGATGACAGCGACACCAAAGGTCTTCAAAAACCTGTGAATATAGTACAAAAGTATTTCGACTAAATGCTCACAAAATCGACAGTGCAACTGTGCACTCACAAGTGTTACCACTAGCATGTGATCTTCTGCTGTTTCAAAATTATATGGTAAATGCCTTCATTATTGTAACATAAGCAGCAGCTGTGCCTACCATGTGAAATCCAAGGGAGGTATTTTGAAACCCTGTCAACAACTTTGTCAAACCTCCACCTCATGCTGCCCACTGTTTGGCAGTAATTCGTGGTGTTTATAAAAACTTACCAATGCATACAATGTAGACATTTACACAATGAAGACAGAGGAAGTCAAAGTGCAATTACTGTGTCTGTAAATGTGGTGACCATTATGAGATGATGGAAACATGTGGCATTCATCATTGAAACGACATTTGGCTAATTTATCCCGGTGTGTAAGAAGAAAGAACCTCCTGTGAGTTCAGTTTGAATTTTTTAATGTAGAAAACATCCTGATTAACACACTGTTATACACACCATCTGTTGAGTAGGAGAGGAATCCAAAAGAAAGATGTGAAGTTGCCAAAAAGCAGGGCAGTCAGACCATCTTCTAATGCAGGGGTGTCAAACTCAAATTCGCAGTGGGCCAAAATTAAAAACTGGGACGACGTCGTGGGCCAACCTTAAGATTTATTGAAAATTCTTTATTTTTTGAAAAGTTTTTCCATCTGTAGAAATGTAGAATATTTCATGTGGAAATTAACTTAAATGAACATTGAATGAACAACTTTAGTACACATTTGATATGATCTCGCGGGCCAAATAAAATTACTCTGCGGGCCAGATTTGGCCCCTGGGCCTGAATTTGACACCTGTGTTCTAATGTAAAGACAAGTTATATGATGCAATGAGGCAATAATTCCTCTGATATAGTTCATCATGATCATATCATGTTATCATGGACTGTGCTTGTCCATTCCTCTACAGCTAGTAGATACAGTATGTATTATAAAAAACACTTTAATTTATGATTAATAAGAGAATCGTCTTCTAACATTTGACTCTTTTTGTATCTGATTTCATACTGTGTGTGCACAGGGTGTGGGACAGCCGTGCATGGCAGGTGACAAATACTTTTCCAGCCAAGCAGTATATTCAAACCCACTGTGATGTTTCTCCAAATGGAAATTATTTGGTGTCCAGCAGCAACGGCTTTGGTGGACAGGGCTGTGAAGCCACGGTGAGGACACTGAAGACGTTTTTTTTTTTGTGTGTGTGTGTTAAGGATGCAGTACAGGCGTGGATATACAAGTAGAGCATGTACAGGGGTTGATGCTTCTACATGGTTAGATATTATTTTGGGTGTGACTCTAAATGACATATTGCACAGAATGCAAATCCAGAAAATAATTTTTCATTATCACACACACTATTTCTTCAGTGATTAGTTAGTGTATGAATAAAGACATAATTAAGAAAATTAACTTCTTTAAACTGGGATTTTTTTTTGCCTTAAAAACATGTTTTCGGGGTATTTTAAATTATTCCAATAACACTTATTGCTTTCTCTTTTTAGGTTAACTCTAGGATAAATTGCTTCATAGTTCTGTATAGGTTTTAGATACATTTGGCCCATCATTTTTTGTAGGCTCAATTTGGAATATATTTGCCCTTTTCTTGTCAATTTTATATTTTTATATATTTTTTTTAAATGGTTTTGAATATTGAGAGCATATATATTTAAAATTTATTTTTTGTTTAGTTTTTTTAGTTTCATTCACAACAATTTTTGATTGGCTCCCCTTAATCTCAGATCATTGATTAGATCAATTATTGCCTTTTACCTTAAATATATACATTAGTTGTTAATATAAACAAGGCCATTTTTGTTCTGTTGTTACCTGTCCATCTATACTTGTATCATCCTAGCTGTGGGACCTTCGTCAGCCTGGATGTAAGGTGGTGGAGTACAGAGGTCACCTGCAAACCACAGCCTGTTGTGTGTTTCTACCGACGCCCCCTGGTGGCACACCTCAGGTAGCAACGTCATCCCACGACAGCTCCATCAAAATCTGGGATCAGAACACAGCAGGTAACAACAACAGCTAATGGATACACGTTAATACATTATCACTTCCAGGGGCAAAAATGACACTTTGTTACAAACCCATCTTTCCTTCCTCTTCTTAATGTCTTATCTTCAGCTTGTTTTGCAACATTGTCTCTGGACGGTGCTGGTCCATTGGTTTCTCTCGCTCCGAGTGACTCCAATAATTTTCTGTGTGCCAGCTTTAACAATGGGCTCAACCATATCCTGGTCGGTCAAGCACCAGACAAGCTCCTCACTTGTGGAACAGGTCCAGGTATGACCAGTGGATTGGACATTAGGGTTGTGGCCCGTTTCTGACACCACTAGTTTGAAACAAATCAATGAACTGTGAACTGCTAGTGACTGATTCATTATGCACTAGTACACAATGTGAAAATAGATGTCAGATATACACTAAAATGTTTTAAAACAGCTTTACTAAACTGCCATACATGGCATTATTTTTTGAGACTATTAACAATGGCTTCATAATACATTTGTTGGGCTTTCGTTAATGTGTAATAAGAGTTTATGAGCCCATATTTGTATAAATACAAACACATTGGAATGTCAAATATTCTTGGAACATAAGTACCATCTTTTGCCATAATAACTGCCAATTATGTCAAAATACCTAACGCAAAGAGAATATTTGTTATGCTATTTTTTTTTTTAGAAAATGTTTTGATACTAATGTACTTCAGCAGCAAAAAGTGGTTAAAAAGAAATATCTGATGTTTGGCAAACGTCTTAACAGTGCAGGAAATCGCTTGTTGGACAGATGTAATTAGCAGACTATTGTAATTTAGGCTGAATTTGCACAAGAAAAATAGATTATTTTTTTATTTAGTTTATATATATATATATATATATATATATATATATATATTTCTATTTCAAAGATAATATATATTTTTCTGTATAAAGACAAAGACATTGTAGACTGATATATTTATTTACAAAGTAATGTAAGAAGGACCAAATCTGTTTCTGTTTAGCATGTGTACAAGACTAAAACTGTGAAGTGTTACACTAAACAAATATGTTCAACATAGGTAATTTCACTTTTTTTGTAGTTTTACTTTAGATGATTGTATTTACACAATATTACTTTCAAATTTACTGCTGTATAACTGATTTGATGTCATCCAATGTGTTAATTTAGACTACGCAACATTTTTGATAAAATGCAACATAAGAGCTCAAATGGTATACCAATAATGCTAATACCAAATTAAGAGGTTTTAAAAAAAATATTATAATTTATATTTATGTGTTAATTTATAAATGTGAGCTAGCAAAAGCTAAAGTTAATGTAAGCCCCAATTGACTGCAGGAAAAAGGCAACTCATTTTATACCTGTGTCAAAACTGTTACTGCCAGGACACCACACAAAATTGTCATTCCAACAGTAATATTTTCATCTGCTTCAAATGATATCATTCATGTTGAAAAAGACAATGCTCACTCTTGCGAACAGTGTTGTTTCAAAGAATTGTTCAGTACCTGTATACTCTTAGATCAATTCTGCTCATGTTTGTTTTTAATACATAGGGAACACTGCAAGCCATATAGACATTTCTAGACACCAGGTATTTCTGTTTTAGTGTGATGTTTATATGAATTTACTAGATCTCAATTTGTATGTTGTTCGACTGAAATAACAAAGCACTTAATGCTAAACTTGTCAGTTAAATTTTAATGTCAGCTTTTTTCAATCTACCTTTGCAAAACTATATTTTTTACATGCAGAGGACAGTGCTTTAATTAACACCACTGGTCTAACAAAACATTGAGAGTACAAAATAAAATGGACATTCAACATTAAAATGTATGAAAAAGCATTTAGTATAAAAATATTAAAAAAAAAAGGAAAACCAAATACTTGTAGTCATTCTGTGGTGTTTATTAAAATCTGGACCTCAGTTTCTCTCTGCCACACCAAGCAGCCAATTACTCATCATATAGACTCACAAAGGAGACAGAAGCAGGCAGAACAGTTTGGTCAATGCCAGAACAATAATGTACACAAACATATAAAAAAACAAACCACAAATGTATCCCTACTGAAAAGATCTACTGACATTTGCAAGTCACAAACAGGCTTAAATTGAGAATTAAAAAGGTCCATAATTGGCAGATGTAAAAATTTTAACAAAAAAAGTTAAAAAGAAAACAGTGCATTATAGGTGGTCTTTTCAATTAATTTGAAGGTTTTAAGAAAACATTAACACTGATTGGAGGGTAGAATTCACAGGGTTAGTGTGTTCTTATTACGTGGAACAGTGAATGACAGTTCTGCAAAATATACAGTAATCTTTATGTAAATCTCACAATTTTGAAGACTGTCTACCAAGATAATTAGAATTGACATGATGCAACATCAAAATTGTAAACATACAACATATGGTGGGCATACAATGTGGCATGCAAGAAAATCCTAGACAATGTTGGCTGTTCTGGCCTATCAATGGTTGTTACCCTGCAGTGAACCAACCACTGATAAAAATACAAATGAGTGCAATTTTTTATTTTTGTGGAACTTAATAAATGTATACCAAAATGGAAATCAGAGGCAAAGAGTAGGCATGATTACAGTTCAAAGGCAAAAGAGGGATGTAGGAAAAAACACAAATTATGTCACCTGTCAGTCACATCTTTTAAAATGCTACCAACATTCAGTAATAAAACTCTATGTAGTTTGAAAAGTGGACACAAGCTGCATTACTCACATTTTGGCGTTGTGCCATTATAAAGTACTTGAATTTGTGTATCTACATCTGATGTTTGTAAAAGGTAATCACTGTATCTCTCCAAAGACAAGAGGCTAAGAACACTGTTATCTTTGCTTTCTGTTAGTTAAACATGGCCTTGTGAAAAAACTTTTCAAGATTTTGATTTAATTACCATTTTGCAACATTACTGTCACTAATAGCATATTAACAGAGTATGAGTTGTTAATGTGGTGCAGCTATAGCCAGAGAGGAACAAATACTAGTAACATAAATGGGTTAGTGTAGAGCTTAATATTTTTTAAAATCATTTGTTGAGTCTATGCTTGCATACAATGACTTGAAAGAAATATGTTTGCCCAGTTGAACTGATACAGTTGCAAAAATAACTAATACAGTTGTGCATTTGGTTACAATAACTACACAAACCCGATATCAACCAGATGCCAAAACACTAGTATAGTAAGATACTGCACGAAATGTGACCACATACAACTAAAAATAAACCTGTCAGGTGAGTTAAGTAGACAGATAATATTTTAATAGCCTTAATATCTCATTTTCAAATCTGCATGTTGGTTGATTCCCTGAGATATTGTCAACTCTGTGTTTCTCTCAGTCTGATGGTCACTTTATAATAGTAATTTTTCTTTCTTCATTTTCACAATCTCAGCACATACACATGCACACATACACAGAACAGTATGTTCAGCAAAAAGTGTGTCGGCACACGAGAAGGTTCTAAAGTCAAATCTTTTCATCATACTTCAAGACTTAATTTAATAAATAATATCTACATACTTTCAATGGTTTTAATGGAAATGTAATAAATAACCCACAAACTCCAACATCCCCATCAAGATGCTGTGTTTTATATATGTACCCTACAACTCATCTGTGACCCCTCTTCAAATTCAATATTTTATGGAGATCGTTCATGAAAAAGTAGCTGAAAAGTCTAATTATCCCCCCCCCCCAAAAAAAAAAAAATCTATAAAAAACCCCAATAGATTCTTTAGAGATTTAAAGTAATTTGTATATGATTTGAGTGAGATTTGAGTTTACTGGTCACGCCTGAAAATTTTGAGGATTCTCACTACCTAACATTGGGCCACGTCTGTTTAATGCTAACCTAGATTTGCCCCCTTCCATTTGTAAAGACCTGGTATCTATGTTGCTGAAGGAATACAACTTTCGGACATCAACTGCCACCACTTTTGCGATAAACCCTCCCTGGCCTGGTTCTTACTTCTAAGTCTACTACTCTGCAGTACGTTCCAGGCTGTCAATAACCCGAGTCAGCCTGATGTTGAGGAGCCTGATCTGAGTGTCCAAGTGGTCGATTTTCTCCTCAAGTGAACTTGCTGTGCCTCCCCGGCGCCAGTATGCTCCCACAGGTCCAGTCATGAAGTACACGACCATGATGAAGCACAGTGGCAGTACTGCACGCTCTGGATCACCCTCAAATTTTTGCAGGATGTAGAGGCAGGACAGGGCGAAGAGGATGACACGGGCGAGCCAGAAGAAACGTCCAAACACAGCATGCAGCAGGTAGAAGAAACCACCCAGGAACATGGACAGGAACCAGTAGGCCACGAGCACAACAGCGACCAGAAGGAGGGCACGTGCTGGAGAGTTTGTGAGAGATGTTATGCTAAAGTAGTGGCTGAGGTTTGAGGCTGTAGAGGAGAGGGTGGGAGAGGGAGAGAGAGAGAGAGGACACTTTAAGGTAATCACATTGACACAATCTTTTTGGAAATACAATACACAAGATGTGGTATGCTTTTTATTAGCAATTTCAGCTGTACTTTAGAATGTGTGAACTTCAACTATGTGTCTCTTATCAAATAAATATTAGAAATACATAATGGGCTTACAGTCGATACCCATCACGTCCAGTAGATCAGACCAGATCTTCCAGACTGTGTCCAGAAAAGAGTCGACTCCATGGACAAACCGCTCCGTTGTTTTGGAGAAAAACTAGATGGAGGGGAAAAAGTGAGTGCATATGTGAGTGTAATATGAACAGTTAACTTTTCACATTCAACGCTCAAACATTGTCCATGAAATCTGCATTAAGCAGAAAGGCTTAGCACTAACAACTCATGCCAGGACAATACTAGTCTAGTCAACTGCAGTCGGTGATTATATATGATCAATTTAGTGCTTTGAAAAATGTTGTTTAACATGCTTAACTGCTAATGGTGTTTATTACTTGGTGTCTAGTTATGTGGATTTTACATAAACAGCATTTTTGTCCTAGTATTCTGTTACATTTCATTTCCTTTCCAATAATGGCCTGCTGTTGACATCAATTCCACGAGTCAGACCATGTCATTGAAATAGTGATCAAATGTACTGTTACAACTGGCGTTATTATCAGTATTTATATTCTCATTTTATAAACACAAACTCAGATTCGTGTACTTGATACAGAAAGTGTATCGTTAACGCACAAGTGAAGGTCAAGTTCCAGAGTGCAGTCAAGAAAAACAGCGTGTTTGTAAGCTTTAATTTGACTTTGGCGGTTGCTAACAGGAAGTAGTGTTATTTGAAACCTTAAGGAAGCGCAGGTCCACCAATGAGCTAACACTTCGACAATATTAGATATATAAGAACAGAGGTTATTAAAGCCTTAAACATTACACACGTCACACACGCGGCTGATACTCAGAAACCTAGTTTACTCTGTGGTATTTGTTGACACACACGGAATTCATTTTTAATTTCCTCTTTAATCGTCACAATAAAACGAATGAAGAAAATAAAATCTTCAAAATGGCATCCATGATTTTGATGGTCAGGCCTATCCGCGCTTTACTTGTCACATGCCAACGTCACAAAACCGCCATGGTCGCTTTTGTCTCATAGTATCTGAATAAACTCTGCAGGTTTATGCACTCATTATTTAATTCTGCAGACTGACCTTGTATAACCCTCTGATATTGTCCTCTCCAAAGACGCTGCTGAGAGTCTGGTAGATGCCGTTAGCTGCTCGTCTGAAGCTGTTCTGGTTGCTGGTTCTGCTTCTGGCCGCTTCGACAGTGCACAGCAAGGACGCGGAAAGCACCAAGAACACCACGAAAACCCTGATTCCCTTCATGACACCAACAGGCCTCAGTGTTATACAGAAGTATGTTTCTAAATAAATGAATGAATGAATGAATGAAGTAGACACGGTAAGCTGCCAGGAAACACCTTGCTGGGGGGTGACGGAAGAGGAAGGGTTGTTGGTAGTGATGTGCGGATCGATCCTGAAATATCGATACTTCCGATTCTGGATCTTTATGCTTTGAAATCGATTCTGAAATCAAAATATCGATACTTTTGATACTTACGCATTCTGAGATGAGGTGTATCCTAAACAGAAACATGCTGAAAATTATCCAAATTATTGAGATGTTGTCTAAGTGACGCTCGGTTGGTGGGACTACTTCTTCTTCCGCCTGGGTGTGTGCGTCATGCCTAAGCACAGGGGCTCTACTCCGTGCTCTCACTCAGTCACTATTGATGGGAATTTCGGCTCTTTTTTTAGAGAACCGGTTCTTTTGGCTTAGTTCATTGAAAAAATCCGACTCTTTCGGGTCCCAAATGGCTCCTATAAATAAATTTAAAAAAAAAACTAAGCCTTGGATTCTTAAAGAAGCTATGATTTGAAATACACTTTTTTTTAAATTTAAAAGACAAATGATAAAATATCGGTATCGGCGATACCAACCCGAATTTTACTCAGTATCGGATCGGAAAGGAAATTGGTGGTATCGAACATCACTAGTTGTTGGGATGGTGGCGATAACCCGTGTTGCCTTCCAGGACGACTCGTATATTTCGATATTTTTTTTATTTGGATGCTCAATTTTTGTAGTCGTTTGTTCTTGTATAATATAAAATAAAAATGTGAACGCCGAAATAGCGCTTAAATTTTGATGGGTCTGTTAGTTTTTTCAGATGAAATATTGCCATTATTCGCCTTAAAAACAGTTAAAAATGATCTACATCTAAAAATCTGTATAGAGTAATTATTCGAGTTGAACTCTCTACATTGATAGTTAAGGGTTTGAAAGTAATTCTTATGAATATATTTTCCTATGTGTCCATTACTCTTTAATTTATTTTATTTAGCATCTTCCCAAACACTAAAACAAACAAGTAAAACAGTAAAATCTATTTACAGTATGCTGCTGCTTCCTACTGGTAAATAATTGTACTTCTAATCACATGAGTTTTTCTTGCGTATTCTAAAGGAGGGCAAGGTAATTTGGTTTCTCTCTACGAATTTGGGGAACATTTTTAAAATCAAAACCCAAAAGTCTTTACTTTATTAAATTACGCCCAGAATAATTTAAACAAAAACACACTTTTAAGGGTGCACTCAAAAGATCATGATCTACATGATTTGTAATACCACTCTGTAATACCACTGCCAATAAAAATGTAACCCTTCCTATTATCCTTGGGGTTAATTTGCGTAATCTTTGGTGACTTTTCCTAATTAAGTGAGGGGAACTGGGTAAACTTAAATTTATTTAATCATATTTGTTTATGTCCTGTATGCATTTTGTATACAGCCGTGTTCCTTGGGGTCAATTTGACCCCAAACCGATTCAGCTGTATAAAACATTTAAGAACATGTTGCATTGTTGTATAATCATTTTCACATATGCTTTATTTGTTTTAGCTAACATTAAGGTCATCATAACACACACTTTTATATACTTTAGAGGGCTTTCCTATGTTTATGGCCCTAACTTAACACTGATAATTTTGATGACACAAACAACTGTCAAACAAAAATATGGCATGTCCAAAATATAAAAACAACATTTGAGCTTTTCATGACATCGTCAATAGAAAAGCACACACTGGACATGACCGACTTAGAGGGGAAGTGTGTATACGGGGACACATGGACACGGGACACTGATGACACCTTTTTGAAAGCACACATTGGTATACTCATTTTAGCAGGGGTTTACAGGTCAAAGCGCGAGGCAACAGCAGTCTATTGAAAGAGATGCTGTTCTGATTCATTCAAGATCCTAATGTTCTATTGACCTTTTGGGAATAGTTTTACTGTATTCTAGCTACCACATTTTATGATGTTACAAGTAAATGTTTTAAAGTTTAAAAGCACATAAAAATATGAATGTTTGAAATTGTGCCTGTTTTTTTCTGGGGTTAACTTGACCCGGAGGATAAAAGATGCAAGGATGATTGATAACCAAAATTGCCTTTCTTATAACATGTTATAAATGACAGAAATCTGTATTGAGAGAAGATATGAAATTACTGAAGTAGTAACAATATCTTTCTTTCCAGTTTTAGATCAGTGATAATTAATGGCTATATTCCTATTTTCATATAGTCATGGATTAGGTGTTTTGGATACATGGGGGTGTGTATGTGTGTTTGCGGTGCTGTTATGTTACAAGTCAGTGTTTTAGAGTTTAAAAGCACATTTTCTGGGGTTAACTTGACCCGGAGAATAAAAGATGCAAGGATGATTGATAACCATAATTGCCTTTCTTATAACATTGTATAATAATAATAATATATAATGTAATAATTGACAGAAATCTGTATTGAGAGAAGATATGAAGGTACTGAAGTAGCAACAATATCTTTCCAGTTTTAGATCAATCAGTGAGATTTAATGGCTATATTGAGTAATATGTTGAGTAATATTTTGAATTATAATTCATTTTCTTGAGATTTAAATATTTGAAAATTTGAGGGTAACAGGTGGGTTAAAAGATAATTATTTTAACTACAGTACACATCGGAGTCCCAAATACTTCTCAATACAATAGAAATATTTGAAACGCTTACAACAAAGTAATGTATTTGCTGTGGCTTGACTCTTCTAGCTCCACTAGATGGTAGGATGGGACTGTGTTAAGGGACTAAGGCCCATTTTCAGTGTTCACAGAAGACATTTGTGTTTGATTCAGCTAGTATTTTTAATACAAATATTAAAAACCAGAAAATAACTAAACTAATTTCCATATATATTTTTAAACTATGTAGAGTGTGAAATACAGTTAAATATATGATATATTTATATGTGTGTATGTGGGTATGTTTGAAGTCAAGTTCCCTGTCACTTTAAAATCAATTTAAGTTATATATTTTTTGTTTATTTGTGATAGCAATTCACCTAGGGCCACCCTTGGTGGTTGCAGACCCCCTCTTGGTACCCCTGATTTCGCAGAAAAAGGACACATGTTTTTGATGAACACTAACAAAAGATGTGTTCGGTTCATGTCGGTCCGAACAGTGTGACAGCTCACCACCGTGCTCCAGAAACGAAATGGAACGTGGTCATCGTTAATCTCACCATTTGCAACTCTTGGCCTTCAGTAATTAATACAGTTCTTAACCTAACTTCTGTGACCTGTCAAAAACTAACTTCACAACAGTGATTTGAGCTCTTGGTGCATTATTCATTCGATACGTGTGGATGTGTTTCTGTGTATCTGTATACAGTATTTTACACGAAGTATCTAAGCAACTACAGACGCTAACAGACGGCAGTGAAGGAATGATCATTCAAACATCCGAGACTCTCGTGAAGTTGGTCTTAGGTTTGACTCAATTAAAGTTAATGTAATTTAATCGAACTGTTCGTTTCAAATCAAACGATGTATGGACGAGCTTCCAGATAGACGGTCCTAACAGCGGGCTGTACTTCATCTGCTGTCGGTCCTGGATCATATCACCTCACTCACTTCACCAACAGAATATCAGGTAAGAGGGAAATAGTTTGATATTTCCTATACTTTAGTGATAAAAATCGAAATGTATTTAATAAAGTCAAACCGACAGGTCTGGATTGTGTATAAACGTATTTTGTTTTAAACGTTATTTGTTTATATTCAAAATGTTATAGTTGCTGCTATACTGTTCACATTGTGGTGTATTGTATACTTCTTTATTATTTTTAATAAATATATAGTGTTTATGTTTAACAAGCAAACACACACACACATATGTATAAGCTATGTTAAAAAAAATCTAAGACTAACACTAACAAGACTAAAACACTTCTATAACCTTTGTTTTTTTTGAACAATTTGGGGAAAATGTCTTTCACTGTCTTCTTTTCCATTGAGTTAATAAAAGTGACAAGTTCCTTTAAAATGTTCTTTCAGTCTTATAATAATAATAATAAAACTGATTTCCATTTCAATTTGGTTAAGCAAAACAGATGTTTGCTTCAGATTTAAAATTGTTTATTTTTGAGGATTGAAAAATCAGATAACATACATACATAACATAACACAATTTAAAAAATTACATTACATTATAAAATTAAACATCTCTTGGATAAAATAATAATAATAATAATTGCTGTCTTAGAGCTTTTTGACCACTATAACTTTAATGTATGTTTATAGGTCAAGTTAACTTGACCTGAGCTTTGCAAGAGCACAATAAGGAGAGAGCTAACATTTATAAAGTCATTGGAATGGTCTTAAAGGCTGAGCTGGAGGTGGAAGGGACCAAGATGTAACTCCTTAGAATGATCATGTCAAAGTGACAGCTTAGGTTAGGATATAAAGTTAGCCAGATCAACTCAGCTGAGCTCAGAGGAGAATGTGGATAGATTGGACCTGAGGTTGTTGGACGTGCAGTCCCAGGGTGATTTGTGGGGGTTGCAGAGGAGGATATGAACATGGTCAATGTTACAGATAAAGTAAGAGATAGTGTGAGATGGAGTCAGGTGGTCTGTTGTTTTTACCTCTGAATGGAGCAGCTCAAAGAATGAATATCCATTTTAAAGTATCAATATGGCTTAAAAAACATTCCCCCCACACCACAAAATCACAACATTAGTTTAACTGTTTGAAAAGCACAGACCCACCAATAGAAATGTGTCATGAAATAATTCCACCTGAAGCTAAGACATCGGACTAACTTGAGTCACTTGACTAAAAGACATTTGTATGAAATGTTTTCTAGTCACCTTAACCCAGTGGTGACAGAAATGTTTTCACACCACCCTCTCCTCCTCCCAACCCACAACCCCACGAATTAAAATACTTTTGAGAACCTGATGTATATTTTTATCAGTACAAACCAGTATGGGTTGCTGCCACCTATTGACCGGAGGCTTCTTATCATTCAAGCATTACAGCAAAGGTACACTTATGTACAACGTGTACCACACATGTTCCATTAGAAGCCCCCATGTCCCTCCAGGGGGGCCTGCCCCACTATTTTAGAAGTACTACCTTAACCCAATATACTTCATGGAAAGTTTTTTTAGACAGAATGTTTTACAGTAAATCGTATATTGTCAGCATCAAGGTTTAAACAGGGAATGCTGGATGAGTTACAATGTCTACACACAGACTTCTCAGCCTCCCAGATGTTCAGAGTTGATTTAGAAACACCGAGGGAGAGCAGTTATCTGGGATTAGGTGTTTTTACAGCTCATTACAATTCTTCCAATCCTGGAATGAATTACCCAGGTGAAACATTGACCCTGTAAATCCTGTAAAAATTCCTGGAACATTAAGGGTGTAAAGTACAACATATTTAAATGTTTTTTTCTTCATTTTAATAACATATTACATATTTGCTGATTTTTGTGTGTGTGTGCCTTTTTTAATTTCAGAGGGTTATGCTCCATTCCTGTCCTTGACCAGCAGCCAGTCAGTGTTCAAGTTCAATAAGATGTTGCCAGGACCTGGACAGTACAACTCCTCATCTGTCAAGGTAGCCATACAGTATGCTAGAGACAACAAGAACATACAAACAGGCTAAAGCCTGGATGATAGTTTGAATTTTGTTCAAATCTCAAAATCAGTTTATAGCTGTAAATACCTGGGAGTGCGATAGATGTTCTGATGGTATATTAGAAAGCCTGTGAAGATAATGCGGTGACTTTACACTAGAGTTATAATGTCAGTGAATATTTCCCTGAAGAATTCATCACAACTTTCAGGTGTTTGATGTTGAAATGTGACTTTAATCATAATACCAGTTAGAGGAAAAAAAAAAAATACAACAAATGATGTCTCGTACACGTTTTTTCTTGGTGAAAGAACGTTTTGTGACATTTGGTATGTATGATTTATGTGCAGCTCATGGCCAGACTCCATCCAGAGACTGTGTAAGCAGTGTGTCCATTTTATCTCTCTATGTTGTAAAACTCCTGAAACCTTAATCACTCTTTTCTGTTTGTTGTCCAGCAACAGGGCCCTCCTTGACAGGTTTATCCTCACTCTTTATCACCTTCAACACACACACACACACACACACACACACACACACACACTGGATATAGTAGTAAATCGTGTAAATCGTGTAAATCCATTTTTCAGCCAAACTTTCCCTGATGTATGTGGTGATAAAATCAGAAATGATTAGAGAATTTGAGACGGGGCACCATAACAACACACCAATTACTTATCCTGAAGTTCACCTAATATGTCATATGATTTACAGTTTGAGCAGCAGATAAGCAGTGAGTTAACACAAAGTTCACAGGGTTTATCTGACTGAGTCTAGTACAATGGTGACCTCACATTCTTTACAGAGATTTGACCTTGTTAGATTTCAGTGGTTTTTACATTTAGTTTGGGGATGAAAGCAGGAAGCTGCTAAGACACTAAATACCTTCCCAAGCACATAGACTTACATAGCCCCACACATTCAAAGAGAGATTCTCCCAAATTCTCTTCACACCAACTTTCCAGATGACTCCAAAACACCTCTAGTCCCTGGGAAGGATGGGAAGGCTCCCAATCTACATTATCACCGGGAACCCCAGATCCATCCATTGCTTTTGATCTACATGACCACCTGTGGTTGACTGGACCTTATGGCTCCGTCCACTTCCCTTGTGTTAACAGCCCGCTCAGCAACAAAAGGTTCATAAACATGTCCTCCAACACTGCTGAATCATGGAGCAGCAACGCCAAGTAGTGGTGACTGCAGGCACAACCATGATACAATAACAATAATATGATTGGCCACAAGAGGCCTAACCTCTTTCATTGGCCTACCACATTTAAACACACACCTGGGAAGTCAAAAACCACTCCCCCTGCACTGGTTTATAAGCGTAAACCACTAATGATACATTGGAAGTTATTCTTAGAAGTTATTATTAGTTAGTTCTTGAATTTGCGTACTGGTAACTGTTGTACGAGACTTTCTTGAATACTTCTCCAGTGGTTTTATTTTGCTCTTGTACTTTTTTGTTTTGGCGTTTTGTTATGAAAGGAATCAACCATCTACCGGCTGTTTAAGGCTGTTTTTAGGTGATTTCTTCAATTTTGGTCCTGTGACTACGGGGAGAAGAAATCCTCCAATTGGTGTCATGCTCACGAACGAAGGGCCAAATCGTTCAACTGGGCCGTGAACCGGATCGATTACACTAATAATCTTTGAACTGGTCCTGTGACCCAGATCGAAATATAGCAAGAATCTTTCAACCTGTAAATGTCATGTTCCAATTCCTGCATTTATGTGAATATGATGTAGTTGCACATAGATACACATTCCTTAAACATACAGTATGGTACAGAATGGTTACCGGGGAAGACTGTGTATAACTGAAATTTCTTTGTTGCTGGTACCTCACTCCTACACTTTACCCCTGTTCTCTTCTTTTCACTTCAATGCAATTCCTTTTTTTCTTACCATTCTTATCTTTTGTGTCCTCCTGCTCCTTCTCTCTGACTCTGTCTCTCTCACAGCCTCACACTAGATTGGCTGTAGGCAGTGTTCTGTTGCTTTGTAAAGCAGGGCATCCTCTCCATCACTGACTTCTCTTCTCTCAACACCTGTCTTCATCCTGATTTTTTTTTTTTTTTTTTGCAGTGGCTGCAGGCTAAAAGTCTCCGGCTGGTGCAACAGTCAGATATTGCATCCATTCCCTCCCCGGGCCAGGCTTATGGCTATGAGGAGGACGCCATGGGAGTGCTCCACAGGCAGCAGCCTCCTCCAAGGGACACAACTCTGGGGCCAGCCTACTACAACCCATTACCGGTAACACACACGCATATGCACGCATGCACACACACACACACGCACACACATGCACACCCACAAACACACACTACCTCTACTAAGGTTTGAATATCCATCAATCGCAATGTGAAGTGCTCATTTGTGTGAGCATGTGTGCTTTCATCAGTCTGATTGACTCTGCCAGTAAGGTGAGGTCCATTAGTATTAGACAGATGTAATGCACCACTAAACCCCCACCTCAACTCATTCACTTGGCCCAGAACCCATTTCCATAGCTAATGAATGCAGCTCCACTTAAAAAAAGCCACAGTGCACCAATGCTCTTCCATTTTACATGTCAACAAAGAGTGCTATTAGTATTTATTCTTCATGCTGTATTATAATATTCACTTAAAATAATGCATGTGCCTGCTGGTCTGACTCCGAATTAAGTAATATTTTATCTCTAGAGGAAGTCAACAGTGTCCTTGAGAGTTGGTTGAGGTTGTGTCAACACAGGCAGGCACAGACGCATGCTGTGATTTAAGGCTATCAGCAGTGCATTCATCCACAGCTGTTTTCCTTCCATCTCAACTTCTGCTGCTCTCTCTTTGATAGTTCGCCCTCTGTTGCTGTCTGTATTCATCCGTCTGTCTCTCCGTCTGACTAGCTTGTTCTTGTGAACTCGAACACACCACCCACCCCTGTGCTCAGACTGAGTTCAAAAGTGTGGAGAGGCAGAATTAAGTGCTTGTCTGAGGACACAACATTCAAAGTGGCAAAACAACCTTTGAATGTTAAGAGGTTGGTTCAAAATTTAAAATAAGAACAAAACTGTTATTCTTCCAGTTTAAATTTAATTGAGTGTTTACCTTTTGTTTTACTGAACCAGTGGCATACACAGGCATATTGTTCTGCACACTAACCTACATTTCACTAAACTAAATTTGAAAAAAAATACTTATACAGTATAACTATTTTTGTTTCATGCATTTAATGTGGCAGATTAAAAAGTAGAACAGAGAAAAAATACTTAAAATAAGTATTTTAAAAAAAATCAAATACTCTCTCTTGCAACCCTGCAGGGGGTGATCTATCTATGTATCTATCTATCTATCTATCTATCTATCTATCTATCTATCTATCTATCTATCTATCTATCTATCTATCTATCTATCTATCTATCTACCTACCTACCTACCTACCTATCCATCCATCCATCCAACTAACTGACTGACTAACTAACTAACTAACTAACTAACTAACTAACTAACTAACTAACTAACTAACTAACTAACTAACTAACTAACTAACTAACTAACTAACTAACTAACTAACTAACTAACTAACTAACTAACTAACTAACTAACTAACTAACTAACTAACTACCCATCCATCCATCCATCCAAGTTAAGAACACATTATTATAATGAACACAGTTATTATACTTTATACTTTAACTAACAATACAGTTTCTTTACTGGATAATCTATGAAATAAGCAATAATCAAAGTCTGTTATGAAATACTACTTTAAAAGTTTTATGTCTAGTTTTCTATATGTACTGTACCAAAGGTTATGATGTGAGTTATGTAACAAATTAAGACTTGTCCTGCCCTGCTAATAAAACCAAACTCAAATTCATATCCTTTTTGGATGGTGAGTGCTTTTGCAGAAAACAAAACAAGTACTTCCAGTCACCTGCACGGCTCTGCCCACACTGGGCTCCACAGAGAAAATCATATTTCTTGTTGTGTGTGCTTTCATATTTAAATAATAGAACAATCTGTATCTCCATTTTATCAGACCTGAATTAAAATGTTTATGCCCACAAGCTGAGCTTTTGTTTTCCCTCTAAAAGGTCTTTTCGGCATGAACAAACAGCCCGTGTCCTGAAACTTAATGCCAGTTGTGAGAGGATCACCTGCGTCGAATTGTGGTGCAGAGCAGGTTTTTCTTCTCCTTTTGTAACCACTGTAGAAGGACGTGAATGTTCTTGTTTCCAATCTCCTGTGCTCTAACTAGACTAAAAGATCACAGGGGGGTGGAACCTCAGATATTGTCCTCCAGTCACTGTTAAAGTTGAGATGAGTGGACGGGCAACATATAGAGTTAGAAACCTTTTGAGATTCCCTGCTGGGTCTGCCACAAACTGCTGCACTTAAAAAGACACCATCTATGTTTTACTGCAATTCAGTAATACGACATAGTCGCTCCAGCATGTCCTAGGTCTTCCTCTAAGTCTCCTCCCAGAGGGACAGGACCCGAGCACCTCGATGTAAATGCCCAAGCCACCTCAGCTGACTCCTCTCAATGTGGAGGCTCTACTTTGAGCTCCTCCTGGGTGACAGAGCTCCTCACCCATCTCTAAAGGAGCGCTTTGCCAACCTGCGGAGAAAACTAATTTCTTCCGCTTGTATCCGGGATCTCGTTCTTTCATGACCCGAAGCTCATAAGTTTGATTAATTTTTCTAAATTTTTGTTAGAAAAAAAACAACCACAATTTTTGGTTCTGTTCAATTTTTTCCCCCTCTATATTGATCTGAAACAAAAGAGCTATTAGCTATATTTTTGACTACACCTGGCTAGTTACTATCCACGTGTAGCCAAAACAAGCAGGAGGTGAAGGTAAGGGTGATAAGAAAGGATGGAGGGTCTCCCTAGTCCTCTGACACATTGGCATTTGGCTGAACTTTCCATTTCATTCGACTCTAACTTCACGAGTCCTGGCTTGGACAGAAAGCAGATAAGTATGAATAAGTCAATTATATTGTCTGCTTCATTGTCTGTCCATGCATCACTTCCAACTTTACGTTATCTCTTCCTACTTTTCTCTCGTCTTTATTTCCTCCAGTCAGAGATGAGCTCAGTGCAGAAATATAAAGGGGTCCACTTTGGCAACATGACAGGGAGAAGAGATGCCGAGATGGTGGATGTGGGACCAGGTCCAGGTTATTACTACCCTGAAATGTGAGTAATGCATATCACAGGAATTTCAATTGTTTATTCCACTGGAATTAGAAAACTGTATAACAGAGACGTCGACATTAATCCTTCATATTTATCGTGTTTACTTTGTTTCTCTTTGTGTTACCTGTTTTGTTCTGCAGTCCGGTTTCCCTTCCCTTCTTCTATGGAACCCTTCTGTTCCATGTCTTGTTTTAGTTCTATCCTGCTCCTCCTTGACATGGCATGGTAAAGTGAAACCTACACTGCTGGTGTTTCAGCCTTTCGTTTAGTCTTCTATTTTGTTATGTCATTGTCGTCCTGTGTGAGAATCTGTTTTGTCTTGCTGATGTCTGCTTACTTTTGTCCCTTGTTAGTTTCCCATTTTTGCCCTGTCTTTTTTTGTTTTCTATTAGACATTGTTCTCTGTCTCTCACTCAGAGTCAAAGAGACCCACTATGAAAACATAAGTCTCCAAAAGGAGCAGAAAACCAAGGCCAAACTTAACATCCCTCGCTACCATGAATTGGTGACCAAGCAGGAGGAGAAGAAGGCAAGTCTGTATTTATTCTTTGCTGTTAGCTACATGTCGGGTTTGTATTGTTCTGTGCTTGACAAAAGTATTGCATATGGTTAATGCTTTAAGACCAGCTTAGCAGCAAAAGGCTGGCAGGAGAAGACATCGATTCGAGAGTCAGGTTTCAGGTTGAGAGCTCTTGAAGAGGGGAACTAAGAGAAGTCCTTCTTAGAAATCACAAGAATGGTCTCCAGGAAAGAGCTACAAAGACTGTTACAGCAGAAAACCTTTTTTTTTATTAGTGTGAAAAACTATTTACATTGATAATGATATATATAATAAAAAAAGTTGTCCAAATCACTTTTGGACAACTTGAATATTCAAATTAAAATGTCTAGTAAATAATAAAATATGTGATATTTACTGACACTTTATATTTAAGAATATGTTTTTTTGAGGACAGGCAGAAATAACAATTATGTGTTTTTCAATTATTTATTTTCAGTTGAATTTACAACTGAAATTTAAAAAAAATTGAATGACTGAAAAGTCGTTATGGAAATTAGTTTTGTCTGACTACATATGCTGACCTATAGAGGGCAGTAGAACACAAGCTTCAGCACCACGCACACACAGAAACACTCGCACGCACACAAAGGAGTCAGTTGGGTGGAAAGCAGTTACTTACCTGCATATGAACTTGAATGTGGCAGAATATTGCTTTTTGATGCCTAGTTTTTCCTGCTAGATGAGTTAGTGTCTAAAAAAGCGTCAATTTACTTTTGTATCGCTACCCTTTCACAGCATCTTTTCCACCTATTTATAAATATCTCCCGCTAACTTACCGTAAGTTAACTGACACTGGGAATTCTAAAGTTTTTCAGACTTCTGAACTTGACTAATTTCACTAGTTAATCAATAGGAATAGTGTATTAATTTTGACAATAGAAATATATAATAGAAATATAATGTAAGATGTAGTAGTCTATAATATGAATAAATAATATACTGAAGTAACAGTGTCTTTAAAATTTCAAAATAAAATTCAAACTAAATGAAGACCAAGCTGTTGTACTGCTGACTATGTTTGCTGTTCTGTGTTCACAACTGACAAATGTTCTGTGTGTAAACAAAGGCTGTGTGTGTGTGTGTGTGCACATGCACGAGAGAGAGAGAGAAAGAGAGAGAGAGAGGCTGTCAGCATCCTCTGTAAATGTTCACTCTGATGCTGGTTGTTTTGCTAGTTAAAGTAAATACTGAACCAGTGCAGTTTGACACATGGAATGGTGTAACACTGTGAGGATGAAATTTGTTTAACATTTGTTTTGCTTCTTGACTCCCTAAAATGAGAATTGCACATGATTTTATTGAAAAAAAAACTTTGTTTACTGTAATCTTACTGCTTTCTTCTAATTCTTCTTTTTTTCTAATATTCTTTTCCCTTCAGTTCTCACCACGTGGATGCCTTCATTTATCTTGAACAAAAACAACACCTAATTTTACTTTTATTACCATTTGTTCTTCCTCTGCTTTGTTGAAAATGTTGTTATCAAAATAAAAGTCTATTCTTATTTAAAACTCTACTTTGCTTTTGTCTCTTTCGTTGCCCTCCACTAGGGAGTGCCAGGACCAGGCCAGTACCATATCAGAGGCCAGTTTGAGGCTCCTTTGAAGTCCAGTGGTATCGGTTCCTTCTTTTCTCAGGCTGAGGTAAGAAAATTAAACCCAAAAATGTTGCGACCACATACACCTCCAGGGCAGCCTTTGGGGATTGCAGAGACTTATTGTGGGACAAATAATAACAAATAAACAGAGGTGGGTAAAGTAGCCAAAAATTGTACTTAAGTAAAAGTACTGTTACTTCAGAATAACAATAATAATACTTAAGTGTAAGTAAAATGTAGTCATCCAAATAATTACTTGAGTAAGAGTAAGTACATGGTGAAAAAACTACTCAAGTACTGAGTAACTGTTGAGTAACATTTCTTTTTTAGATTTATTTTTTAACGTGTATTCAATCAGATAAACACAATTACAGAGGAGAGTTTATCCCATCAACAAAATAATAAAACAAAACAAATTAATTAAATACCTTAAAATAAAATCTTTAGGTAAGTTAAAGTACTTAAATGAAAAATAAAAATCAATGAAATAAAAAGAGTACATAAAGAATTAAATATTTACAAAATAAATTACAGCACAGCACAACAAAAACTTCCAAACCTCTGGACCTGTGGATAAAAACACGTCTTTGAGGCTACAAGCAAATCGAGTTCAGCACAGAGTACTCATGTAACCGAACAGGACAAACATTTCGCCAATCCACAGCAAGAAGAAAAAAAAAAGATTTGTAGGTCAAACTTACTGCAACATGTTTCTTCAGCTTATACGATGAGCTTTTGAAAGCTGAAATATCTGTCTGTTTGGGCCGACACAGAAGACACCACATGATGAAACTGCTGTTTCGCACTGTTTGTAACGGAAGATCAAGCTCAGCACTGAGTACCCATGTAACCTAACAGGACAAACATTCGCCTATCCACAACAAAAAGAAAAAAAAAGAAGATTTGTAGGTCAAACTTATCGCAACATGTTTCCTTAGGTTGGATGATGAGCTTTTGAAAGCTGAAATATCCGTCTGTTTGGGCCGACACAGAAGACACCGCATGATGAAACAGCTGTTTCGCACTGTTTGTAACGTGAACGTACTTTTAATATGAGGCCAGGGGTGTGCCTGTCTTTGTCAGCATTGCTGACCGTTGATTCGGCCATTTTTTGCTGTGGTGGATATTGACTGCTAAACTAATCCGTCCCGCTGCCGAGATCGAGTATGGTCACATGACGAGACTGCGCAACAAGGGCTACATTTTATTGGTTACAGTCACGCGGTAGAGCCTTGGGCGGAAGTCACGCTCTGACAAAATAAAAGTAGAGATACTTGATCATGGCTCTATAGAGAATAGAGAACATAGCAAGAACTTTATCCAGTATCTCTGTAACGAGTAACAAGCTCAGTATAGCCTAATGTAGCGGAGTAAGAGTACTGTTTTTTCTTCATAAATCTACTCCAGTAAAAGTAAAAAATATAGTGATTTAAAACTACTCCTAGAAGTATTTTATTTTGAAAAACCTACTCAAGTAAATGTAACGGAGTAAGTATAATTCATTACTACCCAACTCTGCAAATAAACTGTTCCATGTCAATGTTATTATCGACTTTTTGTGATTATCTTTGCTAATGACTTGATTTCAAGTTTCTACTTTCAGCAGTATGAGGTGAAAGTGAAAATACTTGCGTTGTTTAATGTGTTGTTTTAGGTCTGTTGGTGCTGTACTGTTTCTATACATTAAAATGATCACATGATCTAACACAGTTCTTTTTTTAAAACATTTCAGAAGTGTAAAAGTGACAGTGTTAGCTTCTGTGTTTAGCTTGCTAAATATAAAAACAAATGTTGTTCATGTTATGAAACAATGCGACTTATCCTCCTTTTAGACACCAAGTTAACAACGATGGCCCCAACAACATTGAGATTGAAAGCCTTGTCCAAACCTTGTCTTGTAAGGTTGGGTTTTTACATTTCGTCCTGAACGACTCTGGCTGTGACGGATCATTCAATTCTTTTCAATTCAAATCTTCTACAGCTTAATACTTTTGCACAGTTGTTAAAGTCTTTGAGTGGGGGCTGGTTAGAACCTGAGCAGTTTTCTGGTTATTTAGATTGAGCAATAAATCTAAGCATAAAAATTCAATCTGCATGATTTTGAACTTTTTGGAGTATAAATTAAATCCCCTGAGCACTCCACAGAGGGACCAGAGCTCAAACAAGTCTTTTTCTTGACTAATCACCTCTTCCACAGTATGGGCCCTTGGATTGAATTTTCCTTGATTATTAATTTTTTTTTTTCCTTTTGTCAATACTCACAGGGATCATTCCACACTGACAGGCGATGTGAGAGCATGTAGCTCAGAAGTTAGTGCTACATGCATCACGTGCATAAGCGTAAACAGTGTAGTTATTTTAAGATGCATTACCTCGACTGATTTCTGTGGCTGTGAGTGGAAACATTTCTTCCATCCGAGGGATTTAAAATGTATCACAGAATACTAGGTACACTTGCTTAACCTTGAGTTTATTGCATGTTGAAGTGTCCTTGTACAGCATTGCAAAACACCCCAATGCAAAAACTAAACAAAAAACCTCATTGTTCATTTCCTGCTAAATTAAAAACTGTTGGGCAGATGGGAAAATTAATCACGGCATATTAAAAAGATTTTCCGTTATAATCTTCAATTTACAGTTTCTCCAAGGTTTTCTCCATTGCGGAATGTGTAAGATCTGGATACAGACGAAAGTGCTAAGCCGGGCTTTGCTCGTTTAATTGATTCGAGGGAGTGAAGGAGTTCTTCAGGTGAAGGTGAAGATGAGTTTATTATAGACTTAGAGGAGGAAGGATGTGTAGTCATGTGCCTCTGGAATAACTAAAATCCTCTGTGGCAATGCTTTGCAGCTTCACTGCTGTGAAACACTGACTGATGTTTTAATCATCACTCTAGCACACACACATACATTCTTTCACACACACCCCAATTTTGTTTTTCCTGAAAAACACATTGTTAAATCAGCACACCTGTGCAGTATAACACAGACAATTTGAAAAATGACATACACATATACATACAGTATATAATAAATATCAACAAAACCACTTTTTTTCCATCCCATACATGTGTCTTTTTTGTGTCAAATTTCCTGGTAAGATCAATGAGTGTGTATGTGCATGTACTGCATGCGTGTGTCAGTCACAGCTTGCCCTGACCTAATTTTGTCGCCCACATGCTGAGATGGTGCGCCGACCCTACGCTGCCGCTTGTCACAAGTCATATCTGATGCAGAACTAAGAGCGCTGGTTGTCTTAGATCTATGTTTACCTTGGTTTCCTTTTTGAAACTGCTACCCTGTGGAGAGGAAACACAGGAAGAAGGGTGTAAAGGAAGGACGATAGGAAAAAACGCTGGAATCTCTTTATTCTCTCCTTTAATTGTCCATTCTCTGAAGTAACAATGTAATATTCTAACATTTGGTTCAACCATGGCCTTTTTACTTCTTAGTTCGTATCTATCCTCAATTTAAACAGTGTGTGTTTCTCTTAGAACAAAAAAAAAAGCAACTTAAAGACATAAAAATTGTAATAGTGAAAAATGGAGGTCTTCAACAGTTTTACGGCCGAGGACCCCAGACCTGTGATGGAGCAGGGACCACTGCTACATATTCTGTATAGAATTGTGTTTTAATAAGCCAGACCTGTTTTAAAAATTCGTATTGCAACATACAGAGTGTCTTTTTGTGCTTATTTTTTTAAGTAACACGGAGATTGGCACACTGTTTTATTTTAAAATAATAATAATAAATATATATAAAATGGGTGGTTAACAAGGTCATCCGACTGACTCTTACATTGGTCTTTCTCCACATTCAAATTTGTCTAGATTAGATTGTTTGGACAATCAGAAAATACAAAGGTTTTATTTATATCTGATTTTCATATTTCTATTTCTTAATTGTTGGTGTCTTCAAAAGCTTGGCTAATGTTGCTCTTCTTATTCATTAGGTATAAATGGCAACACTGCATCCTTCTAGTTGCAATGCTGCTTCCTACTAGGCTGTTGTACCCTGGAAATATTTCCACAAATAATTATTCTGACTGCTGGCAAATAAGAGAAAATATTATAAAAATATACAAAAAGTGGCAGCATTTGTTTTGAGAACCACAGAGGTTATGTTCTGCAAGTGTACCATTAAAATGATTGCCAAAATGTTTATTTTGGCATGATTCTAATTTTTTCAATGATCTTCTAGTTATCAACTTGATTTTATAAGATCTGAAATGCAGCGTCTGTTCTTGTTTAAAAAAAGAAATCCTCACAGTAACACTTGATAGGTGCGGCGTTTATTAATCCACTTAAACAGATGGTAAGTCATTGAGGTGCCAACAGAGGCACTGGTCTATACTTACTGAGTGCTAATTGTACTTCATTGAAAAAGGTACTGTATGTTTGTTAATGACTCAACAGGTTTACAGCAAAAAGTAGAAAACTAGAGCAAATGACTCTGCCATGAATTCATATTGGAAATTCTTCAAACATTATATCTTGTTGCTCCAGCCCCCCTTGGCCTGAAACAGGGTTTTCATCTCCTGCATATGTTCTCCTAAAGCCACGCTCCTTTACTTGTTCTCTCTCCTCATTTCCTCTCTCCATACTTTTGATAGATAAGCCAACTTTTCCACTCCAGGCTCTTGATTTTCTCTGCTGTTGTAGCTAATTGTCTAGCTAACTCTCGGCTTCTGGAAGTGAGCTTTTCTGAGCAGTTTAAGTGTAGAATCAGCCCAGGCATGAGCAGCACATTCAAAGAAAATGACATACAGTATCTGATGGTGTTCTTCTTATCTTTGGTTAAATATAGTTCACCTTATCACCTTTTCAGAAAAGGTCTTTTTTTCCCCATCCAAATATTTAGTTTTTTCCTCCTCATACCTTTGACTTTTCTACTTGTTATTTCTTAATTTACATTTTCAGAATTTATTTTATTTATTTAATGATGAACACAAGCCACCGTGCAGGACTACAGTGACAACCAAAATCAGCAAGATGTACGATGGCAAAAAGAAATCTAAACTTAAGAAAAGAACCCCGCTCTTCACTCTGTCATCCCCAAGCTCAATGGGATCCTATCAGTTTATGCTAAACAAGCCCAAACACAATGACAGCCAATCAATGTCCACTTCGGGTGTGACTGACCATTGATTTCCACCCCCAAAAACTCGAGCCCAAGAAGTCCAACACACACACACAAAAAAAACGGATTTTATAAAAAATGCCACATACAGCAACAGTAAAGTTAGAGTGCTAAATGTGTCTGTAATTAATTAATTGCAATTAATGTGTTAATTTGACACCCCTAGTTTTAAATCACTATACTTTTTACTTTTACTTGAATAGATTTCTAAAGAAGAAATAGGCCTCTACCTCCGCTACATTAGGCTATACTGAGCTTGTTACTCGTTACAGAGATACTGGATAAAGCTTTAGCTATCCTGTATCCAGTTCTCTATTCATCCATAATCCAGTATCCCTACTTTTATTTTGTCAGAAAGAGATGTATGCCCAAGGCTCTACTGTGTGACTGTGTTTGACCAATAAAACATAGCCCTTGCTGTGCAGTCTGGTCACATGACCATACTCAGTCTCAGACAGGACGGGTTAGTTTAGCAGCTACTGCGGTCAATATCCACCACCTTAGAGAGCAAAAAATGGTAGAATCAACAGTCGGTAATGCAGACGAAGTTGAGGAGACACACACCTGGACTCATACTGAGAGCATGTTCAGTTTACAAACAGTGGGCAGCAGCAGTTACATCATGTGGTGTCTTTTGTGTCTCCCAAAACAAACGGCTATTTCAGTATTCAAAAACTTCTGATGTCTAACCTGAGGAAATATGTTGCGGCAAGTTTAACCGAAAATTGTTTTGTTTTTTTTAAGTTATTTTGTAAATATTTATTTTTTATGTACTCTTATGTATTATTTTATTGATTTGTATTGTTATTGAAGTAGGTCCACTTGATGTTACATAAAGATTATTTTAAGGTATTTAATTAATTAATTAATTTTAGTATTTTATGGATAGGATGAACTCTTCTACTTTTTTCTCAACAGTAACTCAGTACTTGAGTCGTTTTTTCACCAAGTACTTTTTTACTCTTACTCAAGTAATTATTTGGATGACTACTTTTTACTTCTACCTGAATAATATTAATCTGAAGTAACAGTACTTGAGTACAATATTTGGCTACTCTACCCACCTCTATGTATATCCAGTAACTCCAACATCCATCCAATTATTGTTACTCTAATAAACAGTCAATACACATGGTGTAATTTATACACACTGCATGAGTGTGAAAAGTCTAATACATCAAGCTTAAAAAACATTTCAACACTCATGCCTTTGCGGAGGTGTCAACTTCAGGTGAGACGTCTGGGTTGAGTCAGACCAGCCTCACTGAAGGCAGGGCAGTAAATAAGTCTTTGCTGACGAGATGGCTGACACAATTGTCAAATAGATTGTAAGGAGCTGTAGACTGATTCTTGTTCTGAGTTATTCTTCTCTGTGTTTTAATGATATTTTTCCAAATTAATAAATCCATCATTTGGATTAGTTACAAATAAAAACAGGTGTGAAACACACATATCTACCAACTGTTGTTTGCGTTTAGAAATATACATAGACACTTTTTTTTGTTAATTTTAGGAATGTTGATTTAACTGAATCATAATCAACCATGATTAATTGTGATTAATTGTGTTTAACCAGATTAACAATATATAATGACATGCTATTTCCTGCATGGTATCTATTTTTACCATTTAAACTAGATCTGTTGTCACTTTTTGATTAAACTTTCCTGTCTAACTGTATGTGAAGCATGTCAAGGTTCCCCCCGACTTAAATTACTTTCTCATTTTGAAACTCTACTCAACACTCATCTCTCCAACAATAACCTCTATGAACAGTTCCAATCTGCTTTAATGGTTTCTGCTCAAATTTTAAAGCTGCAGTTGACTGTTTTCTTCAACTTTGACTGAGAGAACAAAAATCCATTAAAGACTTTGATGTTTGTTGTTATAACATCAATATCAATCAATTAAAAAACAAATCAATTCAAACGTAGCTTATCACCATATTACCTTAACCTTGTCAAATATGATGAGAAACCAAGATAACGTCACATTTAAGGACACACTGGATATTTTCTCTGATTAAATCATACACAATGTAGCTCCTTCTGACCTTCTCTGTACTTCTCCATCAGCATCCTCAAGGCAAATATTGCATCTGTGGTACTCTTCCTAGGCATGAAACCATACTGTTGTTCACAAATCTCCACTTCCTGCCTCAACCTAGCTTCAACTACTCTTTATTAAATCTTCATTGTATGACTCATCAACTTTATCCCTCTGTGCATCACCCTTCTTATAAATTGACACCAGAACAATTTTCCTCTTCAGGGCTTTTCTAACTTCATCCTTTCTAACCTGATCTACCTTCTTCCTACTAGTCTCTGGCTCCTCGTTTCTACTTTCCCTTTCATTTTCCTCATTTAACAACTCCTCAAAGTATTCCTTCCATCTTCTCAGCACACTTTCCTCACTTGTGATCACATTCCCCTCTCTGTCCTTAATCAACCTCACCTGCTGCACATCCTTCCCAGCTTGATTTCTCTGTCTCGCCAATCTATACAACTCCTTTTCTCCTTCCTTTGTTTCCAAACTCTCATACAACTCCTCATATGCCTTTTGTTTGGCCTTGGCCACTTCCCTCTTCACCTTCCTTGTCCTCTCTTTGTACTCCAGTCTGTTCTCTTCTGTTCTGTCACTGTCCCATCTCTTCTTCGCTAATCTCTTTCTCTGCACACTCTCCTGGATCTCATCATTCCACCACTAGGTCTCTTTGTCCTCCTTTCTCTGCTCTCTCTCACTTCTCCTTTTCTTCCAACTCACAGCCCACCTGTGGGGCATAACCACTATCAACATTTATCATCACTCCTTCTATTTCTACCTTCACACACATCAACCTGTCTGACACTCGTTTCACCTCTACCACATTTCTGTGTACCCTAGTGGCTGGTTTCTTTCTTTCATGATGTATAATCCATCATTAGTATATATTTCGTGATAAGTTTCACGTTATTTCGTAATAAGTTTCATGTAATTAAGTGATAACTTTCACGTTACAGTGGTCCCTCTCTTTGTCGCGGTTCTACTTTCGCTTCCTCAGTACATCGTAGTTTTTTTAATCCAATCTCGCGACCTTAAAAATGTTTTAATTTCAAATATTTTCATTATGATAAGATAATAATATTCTAGCCCAAAAGGGAAAACTGTATTTAAATAAATGATAAAACATTTTGCCACACATACATACAGGATAACACGTAAAAATATATATAAATATAAATATATATATACGTATTTACCCTTCACGAACCTCCCTACTGTTATCAACAGTCGAACAACAACAATAACAGTGCCCTCCAGTGTTATCTAATATCTGAGGTACCCTAAAGCTCACCATATATACAGTATATACAGTATGTCACGCATGACATGCCGGTATCTTAGTTTTCCCAACCATACGTACTGTACATGATTGTTTTTTTTTTTTAATGTGTTACCCTGTATGTATGTGTGGCAAAATGTTTTAGATATACTTTCTCATGCTCACGAGAACAAGATATGTTTTTTTTCCCCCCATGTTCCTTAGGGGCTCCGTAGATATTCTTTCATTTTCATGAAAAACACTAATACGTCGCTTGGTTTTCATAGTTTTTATTGCTTTTACACGTGTCCATCTCCACACTGTTTCTCTCTCTGAATTCTTCTCTGTTTGATTCCTTTTTATCCCCTGATTTAGAGGTTTAGCTCACCCAAAGAAGTGTCTCCCCCTGTTGGTGTGTATAATGACCCGCGCTGTGCCTTTGAGTTGCTGAAGCGAACAACAGGAGTGAAGAAAAGCCCATTTGGCATCACTTCTGTGCGCTTCACACCTGACAAGAAAAAAGGCTCCACACCAGGTGAGAGCATGTGTGTGCACCTCTGGGTGTTCCTGCTCTTTCTCTGAGATTGGTTAAGCTTCAGGGAAACTTTGCACTTTACAACATGAAGAAAAAGAAAACCCCAAAGTGGTTTGGGCATTAATTGTGCTCATCTGTCTCTCTGTCCAGGTCCAGGCTCTTATAATGTGTTTGAACAAGGTTTGGCTCAGGGAAGTTTTAAAAAGGCATTTTTAGAGCAAAGCAAGAAGGGAGGCTTTGGCTCCACTGCACAGCGCACCTCCTTCTTTCACAACAAGGAATCAATAAAGGCCCCCAGTCCAGGACAGTATGAGGTAGGACAATCGATTATTATAGTATTTATATATTTATTTGTTTCCTTCTCTCTGTTCTTCTTCTGGTCCCCTTCCCCTGTCCTTCTATTTGAAGGAATTGAAATTCTGGTGTTGTTCAAATTGAACTGCTTGCACATTCTCATCAACACGTTTGTTTCTGTGTGTGTGTGTGTTTGTGTTCAGACGGGAAAGAAGACGGAGGAACAGTACAAAATGCAGAACACAGCTCCGTTCAAATCAGCCACAGAACGTCTGTCATTATCACTGCTGGCTAAAGTAAGTCGTTCTTGCCTCCAACACAGTTGTGATCTTCTAATTGTTTTTTTTTTATTGAGCCACTAAGTATGCTCAAAAACAGCTTTCCTTTGAAAAATAGTATGTTTTATCAGTTGATAAATACTATACAGTAAATTAAATGACCTTTACTATTCTGAGCACAGACAAATACTGTATTCTATCTACTCGAGAGCCATTGGTTGAGTCTGTGTCTGGTTTAGTTTCTAGGAAACTAAGTTTGTGTTCCACTTACTTGCTGTTAGTGAGATTTTTCTTATTTCCTTATTGCTCCACATACTGTATAGTTGGTGTCATATTTAAATACAGTGTAATAAGTATACTAAGCCACTGTTGTACATTCCACCTCACGCCCCCAAAGAGTCAGAAACAGCAGCCGTGGGACTGAATTTAACTGAAAGTAATTGTTTTTGTTTGAATTCACTGTATGACACAGAGCACTGTTTGCTTAACAGTAATTTGTCGGTGGAGAAAATACAGGAGCAGCTGGATGTGAGCATTAGCAGTTGAATCCTTGCAACTCATAATGTTCCAGGACAAAATTATGTAAATGTCTTGCCACCGCATTTTAAATATTCAAGATACTTAATTTGTATTTTCACGGACCCTTCTGGGTGCCATCTGGTGTTTACTTTGATTAACCCTTGTGTAATGTTCATATTGTTGTTACTCAGCCAGTGTTTGTGGGTCTGATGGACCCGTTGCATTTTGTGGCTTTTGATGCCTCACAATCAACACTTTTATGTTAAAATACTGAACAGATATTTACCTTATCCCAATTACAAGCAGTATAAACAATATATATGGTTAATATTTGCCCTTTACCTTTGTTAGGTCACATTTAGATGTTATAGGTATGTTCTGTGTACCTACACTCTGTCCTCCTCCTGTCTAGGCCTGCTGTGTGTGTGTGTGTGTGTGTGTGTGTGTGTGTAGGTGTGTAGATGTGTGTGTGTAAGTGTGTCTGTGCGTGTGTGGGTGCATGTGCGCGTGTGTGTGTGGTACACAGAACATCAATTTCCACACTTCTATTAGCCCCGGGTCCAGTGGCCCCGAACATCTTATATGTAATAGAAATGTGTAAGGGGGGTGTATGGTGTGTGGTCATTAAATATGTATTCTGATATATGTTCTTCACAGAAAATGAGCCAAAGCCAGTGAGTCTCAGTTGGAAAAATTAAATAATTATATCATTTTTCTTTTATTAAAAAGTGAAAACGGGTCCCACAGACCTGAACACCACACCACAGTCCAAAGGTCTCCCAAAAAGTCAGCAAACTACACTGCCTTTTTACAAAGACGGACTATTAAGGGAGATCGAGCTCCTCAAAAGACAAAGAGCAGAAAACTTTCCATGACTTTCACATGATCAGCTGCTGTTTTGAAATGCAGTCTCTGGTGCCTGGTTTAACCCCCTTGTGGTAAATAAGAACTTTAATATGACTCTTTTTGTGTGAAAATTTTTGTTGATTCAGTAGCTGCCAAAATGCTTTTATTGTAACATTGTTTCCTTAGGTTTTCCAAAATATTTCAGTGATTTTTTTTTTTTACATTTCTCTTGGGATGCACAAATAACAATACTCTTATCAGTATCAGGGCCTTATACTTTATCCAGATACTTCTTCTTGAAAACAAATGCCAATCAAGTGACCTGATACTCCAGATACAGTAATTACTTGGACATGCATACTATAGTATCTTCCAGTTCATTGCATATTTGTTGCATACCTACCTAAGTATCAGTACTCAGTACTGATCAGTACTGCATAAAAAACTGCTGTTTGTTTTATCAGTTTGTCATACAGTATATGCTACTGGACAACCCTAGATATATATCATATGGAATACACAGAACATTCTGGAAACCTGGAATGTCTGTTTAAATGGATGTCCAATCACATCAATGGCAAGTAGTACTGTAGTTGAATTTAGTGTTTGTTTTACTTTTAACTTATTGCTTTGACTGCAGTCTTAAGTATGAATAATGGTAAAATGGCAAAAAGTTACTTCTCAAAAGAAAACAATGTCAAAAGTTCTGTGAAATTCGCTCACTTCAGGAGAGCTTCAATAGAACTTCAATATGACTCCTTATGTGTGAAGAACTTTTCTCTAAACCTTTTTCTGATATTCTGCTCACTCAGCAGCCACTGAAATACATTTACACCAGGTGTGTTTTCCCTGATCCTCACTAAAAACATTTTCCTAGGCCGAGTACATTTGTGCCCTTAGGGCCATGTAACAGGTCGATGGTGATCTTCTCAGCTGCCGTATGTGCAAGGTGTTGTTGGTTTACGGCTATTGACTATATGCTGAGCTGAGTTAGTTCAGCAGAGTTGTGCATGAAGACAAGAAGGAAATTGAAATCAAAATAGGGCGAGCAACAATATCAGCATAACGAAGCTGAGGGTGTGGTCCGGGGTCAGTATCATCTGATTGAAGGACAAGAATTTCACAGCCCATTTCCTTCCTATTGTTTTAGAATATCCTGCTTTACAGGGAATGTGATTGTTGTCGTCTGTTGTCAGTTACAGTCTGTGTTCCTGCAGCCATATTTCATACAGCACTCTGGGTGAACGCAGACACAGAGTGGTATTTATACATTTACATCATTGCTTCTGTAAAAATGTCAATCACATTTTATTGCACACCACAACGGAACGTAAGTAAGTGTGATGGAACTCATTAAGAGACTGAGAATAATCCATTAAGGATCCTGGTGCTGATGGCC